AATCAAGCAGGACGTAGGGTATTACCTCCATCAAGAGGGCCCGAACCTGGGTAAACATCGTGTCCCCTGCCTCCTGTTACCATCCGTCTTAGACGCAAAGTTCGTGACCCCTACCCGAGATCTGCCGGTTTTGACACCGACATTGGTGCTTTCATTAAGAGTTTCACTGTGTCTTCACCATAAGGTTTGATGGCTCCTTCGATCATCGCTAGTGATGCGGTCCAGGGCGAGGTTTTCCTCCCCGGACAGATCTTTATATTCGGCGGCTTCGCACTGTGGGCCAATTCGCTTGGCCATCTGGAGCAGATCGAGAGCTACGCCACTGGCCATCAGGTCAGATTTGGAAACTTGAACTACACGGTCGACATTCGCGGAGACTTGATCTTCGACGGATTTGAGCCCATATCGGACGCGCCGCACAGTCGCGACGAGCATGACGTAACTCTGCCGTCGGACAGTGTTCATGAGATCGCATCCATAACTACTCCGGCCATTAATCCGGAGCAAATCGCGCCATCCGAGAGCGGGGGGATAGACCCCGCCATGGAGGCCGCGCTCTCAGTGGCGATAGAGCCAGATACTGACTTCACCCCTTTCGAGAGCCGCGTCGCCGAACCACTGGGTTTACCTCCGGCCGCGGACTCCGAGCCGCTTACATCCGTGCCTGTCGAGTCCGACGGGGCGCCGATCATGGAGTTCGCCTCCGCGGATATTTTTCAACACTCGCCTTTCAGAGATGTGCTAAATCCATTAAGGCCTCTCTCCTTGTCAGGAGAACCTTGACCGAACTATGTCCGGCTAAAATGGGATGCGGACGACGAAGAAATTCGCTGCCCACCCACCACCCACTTAGTAGCCACTGTCGACGACTTAACCGACATGCTCGACTTCGACTCCGAAGACATCGACGGTATGGACGACGATGCAGGAGACAAACAGGAACCACCGCCCACAGGGCGCTGGACCATCACTTCATCACATGACATATACATGGTGGATACACCCAGAGAGGACAATGAAAAGAGACAGCGGAGGATGCTCCCTCCAAGCAACCCAAGAGCCGACGTCGGCGGCGCCGCTCTAAGTCCTGCCATAGCAAAAACAGCGATAACAGCGCAAGAGGAAATAACAATCCAGTCGACTCTAGAAGAAACGACGACGACCGCACCACCCCGGTGGCAGAGCACGATCAAGATGCAAACTGCAAACATAGTACGGATCCGACGTCCGGACACGCCGCCGCCAAGGATAAGCATCATCAAACCCCGTCTGGGGAAGAAAACAGTCCGGACGAAGATGCACACATCATCCCGGAAACACACTTGGAGCAAGAGAACCTCCACAGAAGGCTTATTGCCACAGCGAGGAGTCTGAAGAAACAGAAGCAAAGGCTCAAGGTCGCACAAGATACGCTCAACAGCAGGTGGAACAAAGTAACAAAGTATGGTGGAAGTTACCATAAAAACAGCTATCCAAAGCGCAAGGTATTACCGGAATTCGATGATGAGGCCTTAGAGCCCATACAACCCAAGAATGATACAGCCAACCGGCCGGATCCACCACCTGGGGAACGCGATAGAGCGGCTAACAAAGTCGCGCATAAGTCAACACACGATCTACGTGAGAACTTGTGTCAAAAATCCGGCGCGACCATATCCATCTATGGATCTAGGAAGAGCGCTACGGTACAAAACCAACATCGAATACTACAACCGTCCGAACACCATGGCACATCCCAATACAGGGATGCCGCATACCCCTTATGTTTCACTGATGAGGTGCTGGATCACGAATTCCTAGAGGGATTCAAACCGGTGAACATAGAGGCGTACGACGGGACCACAGACCCTGGAGTCTGGATAGAGGACTTTATCCTCCATATTCATATGGCTCATGGAGACGATCTCCATGCCATTAAATACTTGCCCCTCAAGCTTAAAGGGCCAGCTTGGCACTGGCTAAAAAGCCTTCCCGAAAACTCAATTGGAAGTTGGAAGGAGCTCGAGGACGCTTTTCGGGCCAATTTTTAAGGGACTTATGTCCGACCTCCGGATGCAGACGATTTAAGTCATATAATCCAACAGTCCGGAGAGTCCGCCCAAAAGCTTTGGAAGAGGTTCCTCACCAAGAAGAACCAAATCGTCGCCTGTCCGGACGCCGAAGGCTTAGCAGCTTTTAAACACAGCATCCGAGACGAATGGCTCGCCAGACACCTCGGCCAAGAAAAACCGAGAACAATGGCAGCCCTAACAAGCCTCATGACCCGCTTTTGTGCGGGCGAGGAAAACTGGTTGGCCCGTAGCAGCACCAGCGACCCAAGCACATCCGAAGTCAGGGATGGCAATGGTAAACCACGACGCAACAAAAACAAGCGTCGAAATAAAGAAGGTAGCCCAGATAACACGGCGGTAAACGCCGGATTCAGGGGCTCCCGACCAGGTCAGCGGAAAAAGCCTTTCAAAGGCAGCAGAGAAGGACAATCTGGCCTAAACAAAATTCTTGACAAACTCTGTCAGATTCACGGCACCCCAGACAAACCTGCCAATCATACCTACAGAGAATGTTAGGTCTTCAAGCAGGCCGATAAGCTAAATGCCGAACACAAAGGGGAAGAGACACCAAGCGAAGACGAGGATGAACCTCGCCAGCAAAGCGCCGGAGGACAGAAAAAGTTCCCACCAGAGATTAAAACAGTAAACGTGATCCATGTGACAAAGAGAAGAAGCAAGCATGCACTCCGAGGCACACACGCCATGGAGCCCGTCACCCCTAGGTTCAACCCCAGGTTGGCCTGCCGGATCACTTTTGATCGTAGGGATCACGAGACAAATATCCGGCACGAAGGACTGACGGCCTTGGTGTTAGACCCAATAATAAATGGGTACCATTTCACACGAGTCCTCATGGACGACGCAGTGATCTAAATCTGATATATTAGGACACAGTCCGCAAAATGGGGATAGACCCGACACAAATAAGCCACAGTAATACTACCTTCAAGGGAGTAATACCAGGCCAAGAGGCCCGCTGTACGGGCTCTCTACTACTAGAGGTGGTATTCGGTTCCGGATCCATGGCGGTGGCGGAGGGTCTATCCTTCCGTTCCGGATCCACGGCGGTGTGGGCGTCCTGATCCGCGGGGTGCGGCCTTCCTGGCGATGTGGGGTATCCCGGAGGCGGCGGATTTGCGGCGGTGCACGGGTGCGCAGATCCATGGGTGTGGGACTCCCGGCAGCGTGCGGGCTCCCGGCGGCGGCGGGATCGGTCGACGGCGGGCTTGGGCGATGGCATCGGCCGCGCGGTGCCGGATCTCGTCGCTCGCGGCGGATCTCGCCACTCCGGCCTTCACGGAGGAACCTGGACCAGGGACGGCGGCCCCGTTAGGCATGGCGACGGCTTCCTCGGCTCGCGACGTTCGCGGGGGGCGGATGGACGGCGTCTTGACCGCGTGGGCGGTGAGTCACCGGTGGATCTCCTCTGCGCTGCAGGCTCTCTCCCGCTGCACTTGGTGGCTTACGATCGCGGTCGTCGGCCTCAGTGCGTTCGCGGGGGCTGGTAGAGGTGACATCGGACCGGAGGAAACTCTGGATGACGCGTTCATCCCGACGGTGGCGACGACCAGGGTCGCCGTTCTCCTACTCGCAGGCGCCGTCGAGGCCCCTGCCCTCCACCCCGACCCCATGCCCGGGTGAAAACCCTAAATCTCCTTAGACTGGAAGGCGGTGGCACTGCGTGTGTCGTGTCCTTCTTGGAGGCGCCGCCTGGGGCGATTGTGTGCTCGGTTTGAGGAACTGCAGGCGGAGGGGATGGGACCAGTGGCACAGGTGGTGTTTCGTGTCGGAGGAGCGGCGTGGCATCTGGCACGTCGACAACGGCGGGTCTCAGCGGCATGGAGCAGCGGGGTCTCGTCGGTGGGCGTGTGATGATGGACGAGCGCAGGATGGTGGCGTTGTCTGGCGTCGTGGTGGCGTCGACGACAGCTAGACCGGGCAAGGTAGATGCAGTAGTACAACACTGAAGATGGATTGGTGGCAGGTGGCTGCGGCGGTCTCATACCCGGCAGGCGTCCTGATTGGGACTTCAGCTCTTAAATGTTAGGTTTGGCTGTAAGGTATGTTTGGTATTAGGCCCAGACTATCAGCATCCCTACATCAACTGGATAGGAGTAGCGACAGATGTTGCCTAGACAATGGCTTTAATCTTACTGTTGTATGACTTTCTAAGGTCTTGTGTGAATAATTAATATAGTGGCTGCATGCATCGTCCAGATGCAGAGGCCAAAGGCCCTCCTTCATTTTTAAAAAAAATGATAATACTGTTAGTTTATTGTCCAATTGTATAAGTACCATGCATGCGAAAATGCTCTTTAGAGCTCAGGCTTCACGGAGCCCGAGTTTGACTTGATCAAAATTCAAATTTTCATGTTTCAAAACAATTTGAAAAAAATACACACATACTTAGAGACATAAAGCATATTGTGTAAAATTTTAGGACGAAACACCTTAAAATGAGTGCTACTCAAAAAGAACAAATCTGAGGCTTTTTAGTAGATGCACTATTCGTTCTCAAAGTCCATGAATTTGTCTTTTTTGCACAGATCGGATTTTAGGGTATTTCATCCTTGAATTTTACATACCTACACATAACATCCTTGTTTACTTGTATGTTTTTTTAGATTTTTTCGAAACTGAAAAGTATGAATTTTGAAATTTTCAAAAAATCCAGCCTTCATAGAAGCCGAGCTCCAAAACGTCCTACTCCCATGCATGCCACTATGTTTTAAGCTCTTCCAAAATGTGTCCCACCCAAGCATAAGATTCCACAGCCACGACACACGATCATATCCAAGATAGCGCGACATAAGAAAAAGTTCAACTTTGTCGCCGTTAGCACTTGTGACATATGAACATTATCTTATCCTTGCATCTGGCATGGTATCAATTTCGCATGCATATTTGCTAGCCAATTAAGCACAACATTTTTGGCTGGCAAATGGCTTACTACTGCATGCAGCTGGTGTCGCCGATCGAGAAGGGGGGCGTGCCATGCTGCCATGTAGATCGATCAGTGCGTACCCGGGACTGGTTGAACTCCCCACGCCTCCCCCAGTCGCCGAGGGCAAGGATGGACAGTGACCCATCCGCCTTGGGCGAGTGCTCCAGCCGCGGCAGCTCGGCAGCCGCCGGCGCGACGGAGACGGCAACGGCAACGAGGACGAGGAGGAGCGCAACTGGACCCATGGCAGCCAGGGTTCCTGGAAGTAGGCGACTGACTGACTCGTGCTCCACGATGACCAGTGAGCGCGCCTACTTATAGCCGATTGACAGGGATAGGAAAGGAGAGCGGCACGCGCAAACCACCAACCATATGTGCGATGGCTGTTGCGGGTGGGTCGGTGGGAGCGAGAAAAGAATGGCGTGACCAATGTGGAGCATTGGCGATTTGTTTAAGCCAGTGTCTCTGACTGATCAACATCTACGGAGTAGCTCTTTCTCTCATTGTTTCCATCCATGCTCACACTCACACTCACCAGTCTCATGATCTCGATCTGGATCTGGCATCGAACTGCACCCTCGTGCAGATGAGCTTGCTGCCCATAGTGGACACGTGACACGGTGACCATGAGCTCAACTAGAGACCAATAAATAGCTGGAAATCATGAGATTGGTGAGTGTGAGCGTGTACAATTAACATCCAAGAGCTCGAATGCTTACCGAGCAGCCAAATTTATCCTTTGCCAACCCGCAAAAAAAAAGTTTATCCTTTGCCGGCAACAACATGGGAGAGCTCTGGAGCTCAAACTCGAGGCAATGCATCCTAGAGAACTTTTCGGAGTTCAAGACAAGCACTCGAGAAAAATTCCTGAAAAAATTCCATTGACATCAGGAGGGGAAACGGTGCTAAGTGTCGTCGCTGCCGAGTCTGAGACGGATAATGGGTCTTCACTCAGAACCCTCGCACGGAAAGAAGACCGCAACGATGTTCTCAAAAGGAGGACGACACCCGTGAATGTCACCGCTGTCGGTGTCAAAGCGCAAAGCTTTCGCTCGGCAGTCCATCCGTGCCAGCACGAGCCACCCATGACAACCGTGATGAGCAAAAGCCTCCAAATCCAGATCTGGACATCGCCCTTGCCAATGACAAAGAGCTAAGCTGAGCCATCCGCCGCTACACCCCTCGCCACCCACACAACAAAGAGGCATCACCACCACCGTTGCCATGGTTCCTGTCTAAGAGCCAACATGCGGACCGTCATCCGGGGCCGCCGCCCCGGCATCCAAGTTCCAAGACTCAATCACCTACATCGTAGAGCGCCAGCTAAGGTAGAAAGAGCAGATGCACCTCAATCCACCCCTAACCCGACATCAACCATTGAGGCTAGATAAACACCTCCACGTTGGAGGCGACTACACATGTGCCCCCAACCAGTCCCAGTGGACTGGGAGGGACACGACCCAGTGACTGTCTACGCCCGCTGCCAAGAAAGCCCCGACCATAGCCCTTGGCCTAAGCCCGGGTGAGCTCGCATGACGCCACAACCGTGATCTTCGGCGCCGATTCGATCTCTCCGTCGGGGCAGTGATGTCCCGACCACCACCATTGCCCACTACTGTTGTGAGGACAGGGACCTTGCCGCCCGGAAGCACCATGTCGGTGTCAAAACCGGCGGATCTCGGATAGGGGGTCCCGAACTGTGCGTCTAGGATCGATGGTAACAGGAGACGGGGGACACGATGTTTATCCAGGTTCGGGCCCTTTCTATGGAGGTAATACCCTACTTTCTGCTTGATTGATCTTGATGAATATGAGTATTACTAGAGTTGATCTACCACGAGATCATGATGACTAAACCCTAAAAGCCTAGCATGTATGACTATGATAATGAGTATATCCTTTCTGGACTAACCCATCTGGTTTATATAGACACCGGGGAGGGAATCTAGGGTTACATAGAGTCGATTACATAAGAAGGAATCTTCATAGTCGGTCGCCAAACTTGCCTTCCACGCCCAGGAGAGTACAATCCGGGCACAGGTACAGTCTTCGGCCTTCATGTCTTCACAGTCCATCAGTCCGGCCCATGGATAACAGGCCGGACGCACGAGGACCCCTTAGTCCAGGACTCCCTCAGTAGCCCCCAAACCAGTCTTCAATAGCGAGGTGTTCGGCACACAAATTGTCTTCGGCATTGCAAGGCATGTTCCTCCTTTAATGATCTCCAAGTGATGTATTCGGCCATCGGTTCAATGTCGCTCCCCTCGGCTTCTGCGCGTTAAATAACTTCGCCTTCCACGTGTCAAGCGAATGTGGAAGGTCATGGTATTTTTGCAAATAACACCCGGTCCATGCAAGGAAAAGCACCTATTAAAGAGACTATGTAGGGAGTGCGGCTTGCCGTTGCTGCCGGGTTAGTCATATTCAACCCGGTAATACAATCGTTGAAGCATTGTAAATATAAAAAATAGCGTAATGAAGTTGTGTTTATCAATCTAATATATCAAGTTTAGATTAGAAGTATTGCATCGATACATACACATTCAGTACATAGCAATTGATCGAGCAAGCAACAAAACTTTTGTCCAAAAGCAAGCTATACATATTTCATACATAGCAATTGGTTCAGACAACTATAAAATGTCATCAACTTCCTTGTCATTACATACCATATTATAGGTAAATAAAGTACAAACTGAATCCTGAATCCTAGACAGGAATTCAAATAATTCAGTACCAATTTCCATGCATTTAGACAGAGGTCAACGTGATTCGTTATTACATGACGTGTCTACCAAAAGAGAGCACAATGCCTGGCTCAATGTTTTGTCCCGGCCTGCTCATAGAAAAGTTGATTTTGAAGTTTATAACAAAGGAGAAATATATACTTGGTTTCAAAAGTAAACCAAGACATCCTCATTAAGTAGGTACAAATAATTAAGTTATTAGATAGCAAAAGTGACGGTTGGAGACGATCGGGTAAATATCCGACAGCCGAGAGCGACCAAGCCCGAGATCCAACGGCCAGAACACAATCAAGGAAACGATCAGAGGTGCCGGTCCAAACGTTTTTGGTCAAGTAGGGAATGCTTAGCCAGTAGCAATACGTGTATATCATATGTATTCATATATTGTAACAATACAGTGAAAGAGAAACATTCAAACGTGATAGAAGCGCGGAATAATACCACTCAGTACCAACATGAAACTATAAGGCATAATCAATCTCAGTTCGTTCATTAGATTAAAAAAAGTCGCTCGACAGGAAGCTCGAAATCAAAAGCGCAGCCATTCAATACGATGGTTAATAACAAAAGTGATATACTATGAGAAAGTTATTGGAGCATTAACATAATAAAGAAGAAGCAACTAAGCATGTTAACAGACATGACCAAATGGAACACCCTCAAGGTGATGGACAATTGTTGATCTAGTGAACCATAACGTATCCGTGCCTTCCACTGCCCTCAGAATTGTTACAGGGAACCTCACATGGATCCTGGCACACTTGTATAAATTTCTCTCATGCAAAGTGTCCACAAACATGTCTATGACCTCATTAGGCACCATCTTGTTGGCATGATTTCCCTATAGAAGAGCACATGTATACTCTTGATAGGGCCATCATCGAAGCCACCCCACTGGTACCATAGCCTGGAGATTCGCATGTAGATGTGCTGGTTCCACACGGCCGAAAAAATGCCAGATAAGTCAACAAAATTGTACTCCCTCCGGTCCTTTTTACTCTGCATATTAGGTTTGTCCGAAGTCAATCCCATTCAACTTTGACCAAGTTTATATAAAAAATTATAAACATTCACATAACAACACCAATATCTTTAGATTCATCTTGTAATATATTTTCATATTATATTTATTAGATATTATAGATGTTAATAATTTTTAATATAAATTTGGTCAAACTTAGCAAAGTTTGACTTTTGGCAAAACCAATGTGCAGAGTAAAAAGGACCGGAGGGAGTACAGAAGCAGATGGGGTTGGATAATCTATGGCACATATGAAAGAAAAACCAGTTTTGGCACAAGTTTTAGGTAAGAATGATACTTGGACAGTAAATAAAACAACAACTGATTAGAGTTATTTCTCAGTTTAGATAGAAAAGAAAGAACCAATGATTGTTTACATATAGCAGAATTATATCTGAGTTCAGATCAAAAAGAAATAGGCACCGATTGTTTCCATGTAGCAGAATAAATGCTAGGTGAGTAATTTGTTGATGCCAAAATAACATAATTAGATACATATCCATAATTAGTTAAAACCATGGAAAGACATCATATATAGTATAAGCTGGAAGACATAGTACGTCAAATCTGAAGGAGAAGCACTCTAGATAACAGCCATTGATTTGATAATCAGCAACATCAATATAAATGAGAACAATCTTTAACCGTAGTATCCTATACAACACCCGGAAAACACAATTAGCTTACTCTACCTATATAACTTTCTTGGAGAGGTCGAACGAGAGAAAGGCGAAGGGTACCTGACCAATGGGGACGAGATCGCTTCTTTGGTGTGCTCCCTCTCCGGTCAAACCACAAGACAACCCTCCGCCACGGCACCAACCGAACTGCAAATCATCCAGAAACATCAATAGTCATCCAGAAACAGGGTACACCATGCGAGTTCTGCATCATGCCAGTTCTGAATATGGTAGGGAGGTTTAATATATCAATTAGCTGAGGCATAGGTTGCATTTGCCTAATGTATGAAGTATGTCAGATGTTAATAGATTAAGTAAATTACTTAGTACCATGGATTTCGGTGGTGAAAAACATAAAACACTCTGTATACTGAATGTTAAATTAGACAAATTCAAATTATTATTCAGATTGTTACAGGCAAAAATAGTGTACCCAAGCAAAAAATTAGTGGCACTGAGATGCATGGTGACATCTTCTTACTGGCCTCCTTTCCAAAAGAAGTTCAATAAGCACTGCACTAATAGACCAACTGAACATGAAAGACACAAACATCGCGAAAACTAAAAAAAATGCTATATACTTCCTCCGTCCGGAAATACTTGTCATCAAAATGAACAAAAGGGGATGTATCTAGACGTATTTTAGTTTTACATACATCCCTTTTTATCCATTTTGATGACAAGTATTTTCGGATGGAGGGAGTACTTTCTATCTCCTATAGGACACTGATTTATGATAACAGAAATCCGAGGGTGAGCCCTCGTCATTAAGTAAAACTATATATTTTCTATAAAAA